AGTTCAGCAGTAATTGCTTATATCCTTTCAGTTGCTTAAGGATAGGTTTATGTTTTTAGCAGCTTTATTGAGCTACAACTTAGGTAATGTGAAATATACCTATTTTAAGTATAATTCAATGAATTTTAGTATGGTTACAGAATAGTACAACCATTACCACATTCTGATTTTAGAACATTTAGAACACCTAAAAAGAAACTACATACCTATTTATAATCACTGTTTATTCCCACCCCAGCCCTAGGCAACCACTAATCTACTTTTTCTATTTGCCTTTTCTGGACTTTCCATAAATAGAATCATATAATAATGTGTGGTCCTTTGTGTCTAGTTTATTTCACTTGGCATGTTTTTTATGTTCAGCCATGTATCACGTGATTCCTTTTTATTGCTTAATAGTGTTCCATTATATACATACTCCATTTTGTTAGTCCAAGGATGGATTTTTTACATAGGGAATCATATTTCTTTTCCACCTCCTCCAAGTAAGACCCACTTACTATAAGAATACCTAATCGGAAATCATGGCTGTGGTGCTAAAAGCAGTTAATTGATAATTTTCATTGCAAAAAATTTTTTTGATTTAAAATAATAAGTTTTAATACTTTACAACATAGACTTGCTTTTAACTACTGAAAGGTTTTGTTTGTTTGTTTGTTTTTTAAAATTTCATTTCTAGGTAAGACCATTGCAATTGGAAAAGTTCTGAAACTGGTTCCAGAGAAAGACTAAGCATTTTCTTGATGACCCTGCACAATACTGTGAGGAAAATTGACTGCAAAAGCCTACTTCACACCGCCTTCTCTTATTTTCTGCCCATTGATAAACCTCTCCCCATATTTTGCAAAGAGAAAATTCACAGCAAAAGTCCACATTATGTCAGCTTTCTCATATTGAGAGCTCTGCTATGCCACTGTTGAATTTTTCCCCCCTTTCAAACTCTGCTTCCTTGGACAGATTTGGCAATAGCTTTGTAAGTGATGTGGACATAATTGCCTACAATAATGAAAACCTACAGGAATTTTTTTATTTTTCATTTTCCCCTTAGGCATATTTAGTAATTTTTCCCCAGGCAGATCATTCTGAGTGTGCGAGTGTGTGTGCACATGTTACAAAGACAACTACCATGTTAATAAAATATTCAATTTGAAATCCTTTTCGGTATCTGAATTGCTTTTGAATAGTGTTTTTTATCTGGATGTAACATTGTTGCATTAGCTTTTTAACTTTACCAAGTAATTGAATACATTTTATTACTTGGACTTTTCTAAACTCTTTCCCTACCCACTCCTTTAAATGAGGCATTTACAATGTTCAAGTTTTTATTAAAGGAAAGGATTAGTTTGATCCCTTCTTTTGATGGTCAGTGCATACATACAATTGAATCCCTTTATCCAGCTGTGACACTGCTTTACTAGGTTTATCAGTTATTTTCTGCCAATTTATATTTTAACATGATTTCTTAAATACAGTAAATTGTAAAATAAAAGAACAGCATACTGTAGTTTTTATAAGTAAAGCTTAATGAAATTGTACCCCTACAAAAATTCTATTAACTCATTAAATTAGTGGAATTTACAATAAAGAAAGCATGTTAAGACCTGGCAAAAATGCCTCTTTTAGTATTTATAAGAGCTGCATGCATCTCGTAGGAAAACTGTATCTGTTGCAAGTGCCAGTTCTACAAGTACTCAGTTTATTCTTCCTATCAGTAACTTTAAAGGTTGAATGATCCTTGCTGGTTAATGCTAAATCTATCCAGCAACTAAATGAACACATATATAGAATCATCAGAATCTGCACAGACTCAAATTACCAGTGATAAATAGAATCAAGCACAGTATGAGTTTTATCTCAGTTATTTAAAATTGAGTTTTCTTAAGTATAAAGATCAAATTTGCTAACCATGATTTGGATGAACCACAGTGCAGCATTGTGGTGTTTTCTAGATTGAAGGGTGACTTTCTCCTGTAACTATCATGACTTTGAGATTTTTCATGAGAACTGGAAGAGACAATTTCTGGGTTTATCAGAAGCCCCATTGATGTTGAGTGTTGGCCATTTATCAAAGACTTGGCCTCTTTTAGATTGTGATTTATCTCTACATAAGATACTTTGTAGTTGTATATTTAATGACAAATCCCTTTCCCATAATCTTGCTCCTCAGAAAAGAAAAGCCTAGTCAGAGTGTATTTTTAGTTGTGAAACATAAAACTTAACCTAATAGTGTTTTCTTAACTATGGAATTCCCATTTGTTTCACGAATGAGGCTACATCTTATGGACAGAGCAAAGTTATTGTCCTGCAGCTTCTTTTAACTATACTTATGGCCATTAGATTGCATGAAATTTAAATAAATTTTATTATGTCTGCAAATTTCTGGGCTTTTATTTTTCTGGGAAATACACGAGCTTTAAGCAAAACCGATTAGTTTCTTTTGTAGTTCTATGTTAATAACAAATAATAGCAATTGCTTGGATTTCGATATTTAAAAGTTCAAGAATCACTAAATTTTTTCCAAAGGTATTTCCCCTTTTAAATTGAACACATTTTTAAAAAAACTATGTTTGCTATTAAAATATTTACCTGTTAGAATATTATGTACATGTTGCCAAGACTCTTAAGTAAAACAACGTGGATATCAACTGTGAAGGGCTTACCTCTTAAAAAGCAACAGATAATAAATAAAAATACAAAAGTAATTATACAAATTACATTGGATTCTTGCACATTTGCAAGATTAGATTCAGAAGAAATTCCAATGTTAAAGTTAATCAACACCATACATTTTATGGACTTTAAAATTGAGAAGCGTTCCTGCTTAAAGGTGATACATTTAAACTCCTGGTTACACTGGCTAGTCATCTGAATAAGGAAATAAGTCTGAGATGAATTGGCAACATGGGAGATGTTGGACCTTTAAAGAGCAATAGAAATTCCTGTGTTGTCATTCTGATTTCTGCAAGTACAAATGTGTTTATATGCTCGACAATGCAAAATAGGCTAGCTGACTGCATATTTAGGGTATTACAGACCTAAATATTTTTTTCTCTATCATAGATATGTTTGAATCATGATTTTCTTTGTATCTTTCACATTGATGTTCTTTATACAGCTTTCATGCTAGGTTATTTAATTAGTTTTTTAAATTAATAAAGTGAATTTAAGAAATAATTGAAATACACTAATGTAATTGCCATTTTAAACCCATATTTCTTAACTTTGGGAGAAGGGAAAATATAGCATTTATTTGTTTTTAATTTACAAAATGAACTTATCCAGTGAAAAATCTATGTAAAGTCAAACCAAAAGAGTTGGACCGCATGTATATTATCATGAAATTAAGTGACAAATAGTAAAGTGTTCTTGAATAATTAAGCCCATGTATATTTTGTTTTGAATTAGACTTGGGATATGTGGTAATTGAATGTAAAAATTTTGTAAGCTGTAATAGTACAGGTTGTTCACTGTAACGAGTTAACTCCTACTTGTCTGCTGGTTATATAAACTACAAGAACTTTTACAATATGGGACTTTGAACTGTGATGCAGTTGAACAATTACTGGCATCCTCTCAGCTGAAGTGCTACAAATATTTTGGGTCATTTTTGCAATCAGATGCAGTTTTGCAACCCAAGAAAAAGTTGAACCTATCATCAAAAAACTGCTCCCAAGATGAACTTTGGAAAAAAAATCAGCTAAACTCCCCCAGCAATCCTCAAGAACACTATTTATGACTGTAACAACTCCTGGATCTTTGATGACTATTATACATGAGAGCAGCCTAGCACCTTTCCTTACTGGCATGGAATTCTTCACGGACTACTACTTGATGGATTCAAGTGAAGCTTGATGGATTCAAGTGAAGCTTGATGGATTCAATGAGCTAGCTTCATTGCTTTGGGTAGGGATTTAAGGTATTTGAGGGACAAATACGCAGTTTTGATTATAGCTCTTAACATCAGGCAACTTTCTACCTTTAAACTCTTTGTGAAAATTCTGGATATAGCACCTAGCTCTGACTGTAGGATGATTAAATGTTAATTCAGTGTTGGCCTACCTTATCAGAATAAACTGTGCCATTAATCCTCTCACAGATGTGTAAGGTAGATAGCAATCAACTGGACTTGGGGAATGATTATCTGTCTCCAAATAATATGGCTTTTATTTCTTCCAGTTAACTTTTTCAGTGATTGTAACAGATCAAATACATTCTGATACCCATCTAATACATTAATGATCTTGTTTCTTTCTTTAGAGATCTTGCCATGGCAGCAACTTGTTAAATAAGTGTAATTTTGTATGCACAACTCAAAAGACTTAATAGATTTAAATGTAGTAGTCAATTGGTTATATTAGATTTCATAGTAAATGGAATAGGAAGTGGTTTTATTTTCCAATAGTAGTTGAGTGGATTCCATTGAACCAATTTATTGCCAGAATTCAGATAGGGTAGATTTGGTTCAACTTTTGGTGATTTTGGCTCTAGGATATTCTTATCAATATCCTAGAACTTCCTGAGTCTTCCCTTCAATAAATACAGTTATCAACATACCTCTAATCCTATGCTTCCTTGAAACAGTAATATGCTAGCTGAATTGTTTAATAAGGATTATTATAAGGGCCTAGAGTTGTGGGAGTGGAGATGAAAATCTTTTCTTCTCCAGTATAAGGGAAAAGCAGATTGGCACGATGTCTGATTAGGCAGAAACACCAGGATTTAAGAAACCCTTGAAATGGTAATTGTCTTTTCTGCCTTGTCAACATTTGCCTCTGTGCCCTTTAAAACAATGTGGAAACCTCAGGTTTGTGGACGCACAGGTGGAGTGACATTTTGTGCTTCCTAAGGCCCCCCTCTGCTGGGCACATTAGCTTAGTGCTTCAGATGTCAGCCCAAGTCCTTGCTACCTCCTCTTCCTGCTGCCCAGGGAAGAGTGTGTGTGCTGGAGCCAAGCCCTCGCACTCCTCAGGTGATCATCCTCACCTCCATTTCCTCCACACGCGTTAGGTGAAACAGGTCTGAGCCTGCAAGGTCTGCATCTTAAGGACTACAAATTGGGCGCTCAGAAACGTACACACCTCTTAGTTAACTGGTTTCTTCTGTTCTAAAGGAAATGTGGCTATCTCTCAGGCCAGGATTTAGTGACTAGTTTTCACTAAATAGCAGGTTAATACCTAGATCTCATTTTTTAAAAACAGAGGATTAAAGGGAACTGATTAGGTTTGCTGAGTGTTTTAGCCTAATTCCAAAGCATGGAAGAGTGCTCTAGGTAAGACAAAAACCTTTCTCTTCTGATTTGTAGCTACCTACTGTGCCTGACTTGGTGCCTGTGTGAGGATTAACCCCTTAGTCTGCTCTTGCAATTATTCAAATGACTAAAGTTAAATTTGCTTTTGTAATAACAATAAAAGTTCTCATCTTCCCTTTTGAAGGATTTGTCTGTCTGTAAACACCTGTGTTGTAACAAGCCGTGCCTCTTCTGTAAAATCCTGTATTTTTATATCAGGTATTTTGCATCAGGTATCTGTCTACCAACAGATTTGTTAGGTGAGTCTAACAAGATCTGTCACATAAGAGATTTACAAACATGACTGATAGCATAAGCTATGCAAGTCTTTTATATGGTGTGTATGACAACCTTACACAAGAACATCAACCCTATAGGAAGTTAAGAGATGCTGAATGATAAGTCAAATAAGTATATCACAGTTATGTGGTTTTATGTGAACAGTAGAGTTAGGGAAACATCAGTTATTCTTTCAGAACTATCAACCTCTATATTCAGGATTTTAAATGAAGATCAAGAGACCAAATAATATTCTTTTCATTTAATGTACAAGGGCAAGAAGAAATTAATGATAAACAGAATTGGCATACACGGTGGCTGATTGAATGTTGCCAATACACTGCTTTATACTCATCTGTTTGCTTAGCTAGAATGATTCCTGCTTAAACTCCCTAGGTGAAAGGAATCACTTCAAAGTTCCAGCAGTCAAGTCTCTAGTAGAGGTATTAGCTTACACAAAACTGAGCAAGCTTGCTATTACAGCAGGGGTTCATGTTATAAAAGTGCTAATAAATGGTTTTTGTGAGGCTTCCCAGGAATTAACCACACTTTTCTACTCTTACGACTAGGTCTTTGACACTGTCCATCAAACATGTACTTTATGTCCTTTGTTGAAAGAACAACTTTTTTATTTTTTTTTTTTTTGAGACAGAGTCTCACTTTGTTGCTCAAGCTAGAGTGCGTGCTGTAGCATCCGCCTAGCTCACAGCAACCTCAAACTCCTAGGCTCAGGTGATCCTGCTGCCTCAGCTTCCCGAGTAGCTGGGACTACAGGCATGTGCCACCATGCCTGGCTAATTTTTTTATTATATTAGTTGGCCAATTAATTTCTTCTATTATAGTAGAGACGGGGTCTCGCTCTTGCTCAGGCTGGTTTCGAACTCCTGACCTTGAGCAATCCTCCCGCCTCAGCCTCCCAGAGAGCTAGGATTATAGGCATGAGCCACTGCGCCCGGCCAGAACAATTTTTTAAAGGTCTTTGGGCACCATGTTTAGGCACTGTACTGCAGTGGGTAAAAGACTGACAATAGAGGATTTTACATTTCCTGGCAAATGGAACCAGTTTCAGAGACTTTCTATCAATGCATCAGAAAACAGAAAAATTGCATCAATATCTTGGATGCTGTAGATTTGAAATGAAGGATTATGTATCTCAATCTAGAATAAAGACCAAGTAACAATTATACAGAATTTTAAAGCTTTCCAAATTTAAAAGGCTCTTAAGTAAGTTTAGCCTCATTGGCCACATTAAAAAAAGGTAAATAAAATGTGTTTCATTTACCCTCTTGTGTAATAAGGTTATCCATTTTAAGCCTTTATTGGCATTCTGATGCTGTATGAAGAATTTAAAGTCATGTAACTATTATGGCATCTTTCTTTTGTTTCCTTATGTTTAATCTGTGCTCTGTAGAGCTAATTCAATTTTTGGTCTTAAAAAGTAAAATTTGCAGTGCACGGTGGTAGTCCCAGCTACTTTGAAGGATAAGGCAGGAAGATCCTTTGAGCCTAGGAGTTCAAGTGCGTTATGGTAGTGGCTGTGAATAGCCACAGCACGCCAGCCTGGGCAACATAGCAGACTTTTCTCAAAAAAAGTAACATTTCTCTTGTTACTCTGAATATATCTCTAGCTCAATTTTTTTCTGAAGGCTTGTATGAAATAGTTTCCTATGTTTTCTGCTAAAAGTGAGATTGCCTACGACAAGAAAAAAATCCTCTAGCTGACATTTCAATTATTTGGATTAAGATCCCTATTACTTGTATGAAATAGTTTCCTATGTTTTCTGCTAAAAGTGAGATTGCCTACGACAAGAAAAAAATCCTCTAGCTGACAATTTCAATTTTTTGGATAGGGATCCTTCTGTTAAGAATTAGGCAAATATTTTTCCCTCTCAATGTTCATTGAAGCTAGCTGCCATAGTTGATCTCTTTTTTTTTTTTGAGACAGAGTCTTGCTTTGTTGCCCAGGCTAACGTGAGTGCCATGGCGTCAGCCTAGCTCACAACAACCTCAAACTCCTGGGCTCAAGTGATCCTACTGCCTCAGCCTCTTGAGTAGCTGGAACTACAGGTATGTGCCACCATGCCCGGCTAATTTTTTCTATATATATCAGTTGGCCAATTAATTTCTATTTATAGTAGAGATGGGGTCTCGCTCTTGCTCAGGCTGGTTTTGAACTCCTGACCTCAAGCAATCCGCCCACCTTGGCCTCCCAGAGTGCTAGGATTACAGGCTTGAGCTACTTTGCCCACCCATATTTGATCCCTTAAAATGTCACTACCGTGCCCACCCATATTTGATCCCTTAAAATGTCACTTCAGTGGCAACAATGATGATCATACCCAAATACAGAATAAGCAGTTAAAATTTTATGATTTTGGTAAAAGGGATTTTAGGAGATAAAAAGAAAAATAAACATTTTTATGATTTATACGAGCTTATTTTGCATGGCATTTCCACTAAAAGTTCTGTTCTCTAGCTTGAATGAGTCAAGAGTCAGGCTACTGGTAACATAATACTGGTAAATAATTTAGAGAAGGCATAATGGAAAAAAACCACATATTTAACTTGTTTTGTATCCTACCTTATATTTAGGTCAAAATTTTGTTGGCACTTTCACCCCACTTAACTGGGCAAGAGTACAGTACTCCCAAAGGATTGTGTTTGCCTATAAACTACACAAGTTTCACATCTCAAAATAGCTGGACTATTTCAAATGTTCCTAGCATAAAGATAAATAAATATTTAAGGTGATAGATATCCCAATTACCCTGATTTGATCTTTATACATCAAATTATCACCTGAACCCTGAAAATATGTATAATATGTATCAATGAAAAAAAACACAACTATACAAATTACTTTAAAGCAATCTACATCACTATCTTTGTTATTTCCCTGGCAAATACATTAAATTTTAGGATAGAAAGAAATTTTGAAATAATTAGTCTTAGGAGTAATTACAATTTATAAGTAAGTTCCAGCAGACAGAACTTGTAAAACAAAGGAATTTTTTATTAAGGTAGAATTTGAATACAGTGAAATGCATAGATCTTAAAGTTTACAATGAATGTGTCAAGTTAATACAACTGTAAATACACTCATCAATGTACAGAACATTTCCACCACCCCTAAAAGTTCTTTTCTGCCCCATTCCAATCAATCCCTTCCTGCTAAAGCAATCACTGTTTTCCCATATATTAGCTTTGCCTGTGTTTGAACTCCACATAAATGGAATCACGTGGCATGTTCATTGGGTTACAGTTAATATTAGGTAGGGGCATATTTTCTTAACTCACCTCATTACCCATATTTGATTTCTTTTTGGGGGGATGGTGGGAAAAACAGGGTCTCCCCTGGTGGGAGATGGTGGGAGAAACTGTTGCCTGGGCTACAGTGCAGTGGTGTCATCAGAGCAACCTCTTAACATCATTTCAATTTTGTCTGTCTTCTTTGATGCAGCATCACGTTTTAGAGATTAATCCATGCTGTATCAGTTCTATTTTTTTTTTCTTTTAGGAGTTCTTTTTTATTGCTGAGTGATATTCTAGTTCATGAATATCCCATAAATTTGAAAGTCTGTCCTTGAAAGATTTAATTTTGTTTTCCAGTTAGGATTCTTTGTCATGTGGGTTGCAAAGTCTAACAACTTTCTTTTGAATTATCATTAGAAATGCAAGGAAATCAAACTAGAGAGGAAAGTTTCACCTCTTCTGCCTTTACCTACTTCCATAAAACCTACCAAACAGAAGCAGATGATTTTGTGATCCCAAAGGAATTGAAATAAGATGAGCCCCCATATATCTCCCTTTCCAATCTTGAAGGCTTTCCTTCCCTATATTCCGTCTGATGTGCCAATTCTAAACCTGGATTGTGCCTATCACACTTTCATGTGGCTAGGGTAAATTTGTAGAACCTGACTTTCACCTCTACTTATTAACTTTTTTAAACCTCACAGCTAAGTCCTTTTTCTTTTTTTTGGCAGATTTATTAAATTATGTGCATGTGTAACTTCCTTTTTAGAAGTCCTTTTTTGATCCCGTATTGATGATCTAGCATAATACTTTACTGTGGCTATTAAAAACTTTCTAATTTGAGTAAACATGCACTTTGACCTGTCATAAGAGTCACGAGTTACATACTGGTACTGGTTAAAAGAATACAGCCCTGCACGTTATCAGCTGCTTATCTTCAATGATAAAGAGATCAGTGGTATGCGTAACCTTCTTTTTATTTTATTTATTTTTTTTTTTTGAGACGGAGTCTCACTCTGTCGTCTGGGCTAGAGTGCCATGGTGTCAGCCTAGCTCACAGCAACCTCAAACTCCTGGATTCAAGCAGTCCTGCTTCCTCAGCCTCCCGAGTAGCTGGGACTACAGGCATGCACCACCATGCCCAGCTAATTTTTTCTATATATTTTAGTTGTCCAGCTAATATCTTTCTCGTTTTAGTAGAGACAAGGTCTCACTCTTGCTCAGGCTGCTCTTGAACTTTTTTTTTTTTTTTTGAGACAGAGTCTTGCTTTGTTGCCCAGGATAGTTTGTTCCAAAAGACCAATCATTATGCAGTTTGTGACTATACTGAAAAAGAATCTCTGCTCATATTTATGGTTTTGGCAAAGAGAAAAAAAAAATGGGAATCTCATATCTTTCCCTCTGCTGCTCCTCCTTTCTTCCCAAGTCCTAGTAATACCACCCATTTGCCCAGTTTTTCAAGATCTCAGAATTTGGGAGTAGGCCGGGCGCGGTGGCTCACACCTATAATCCTAGCACTCTAGGAAGCTGAAGTGGGCGGATTGCTCGTGGTTAGGAGTTCTAAACCAGCCTGAGCATAAGTGAGACCCCATCTCTACTATAAATAGAAAGAAATTAATTGGCCAACGAATATATATAGAAAAAATTAGCCGGGCATGGTAGCACATGCCCGTAGTCCCAACTACTCGGGAGGCTGAGGCAGGATTGCTTGAGCCCAGGAGTTTGAGGTTGCTGTGAGCTAGGCTGATGCCATGGCACTCACTCTAGCCTAAGCAACAAAGTGAAACTCTGTCTCAAAAAAAAAAAAAAAAATTTTGGGAGTAATCTGACTTCTCAGTTTTAGTTACGTCATATAGGTATTTTGTCCCCAATGCTATCACTCTACTATCACACAGGAGCATCAGTTATGGTAGGAAAACTATAAATGTTTTAAGGTGGGAGGGCACAAGAACCTACGCCACAATTTTCCAGAAGTAACCTGAAGCAGAAATCAGAAGGATGAGTTAACGTATGTGTGAGTGGTGGATGGTGGTGCAGGAAGGCATAGAGTTCCAGGAAGAAGTACCAGCATGCTGTAAGGTGGTATGAAGATGAATAGAAACTGCAAGGTTGAATCTAGGACCTAAACACTGAAGGGCTAAGTAGCAGAGTACAAAGTTAGGAAGGTAATAAGGGAGGGACCAGATGAAGAGTGCGTAGCCTTTGAGGGTAACCATATGATCTGTCTTTCAAACTGCAACACTTTATTCCAGGACAAATGCTAAACTAGACAGGATGCCAAACAACAGATTCAAACTAGGATATATTTAAGACAAATTAAGAAATATTTACCTCATCCTAATTACAATGATAATCCAATGAAGGTGGTTAAACATAATCAGTTTCACATGATCAGATTTGCATTTTACAAAGATCACTCCAATTGAAGGGCAGAGAATGGACTATAAGATGCAAAACTGGAGGTGGGAAGACAAGTTAGGAGGCTGTTGCAGTAATGTAGGCAAGAAAAATAAAACCAAAACATGATAATGGCCTGTACAACAATGTGGTGGGAATAAAAAGACTTGGATAGGCCAGGCACAGTGATTTATGCCTGTAATCCTAGCACTCTGGATGGAAGGATCACTTGACATAAGGAGTTCGAGACCAGACTGAGTAAGAGCAACCCCCTCTCTCCAAAAAAAACCAGAAAACTTAGCCAGGTGAGGTGGTGCACACCTATGGTTCCAGTTACCCAGGCGACTGACGCAAGAGAATAGCTTGAGCCCAGGAGTTTGAGGTTGCAGTGAGCTTTGATGATGCTACTGCACTCTAGCCAGGATCACAGAATGAGACTCTGTCTCAAAAAAAAAAGACTTGAATAAATCCAAGACATATTTAAAAGGAATAAACAAGTCTTCATTAATGACAATTGACAATATTTGGGGGATGAGAAGGAAAGAGTTAAGGATAACATCCATATTTGACTTGGTGGTACCAATGATGGAGACAGGAAACACAGGAAGAAGAGCAGGTTTGAAGGAAAGTCGGTGAGTTCATGGTGGGACTTGTTGAATGTGAGGTCCTACTAGGACTTTTAAGTGAAGACAGGTGAACATATGAATGGGTTTGAAGACAGGAGATGTACAAATCTCTAATAGTTATCTACTGATTATAGATAATAAATTACCTCAATGTCGTGGCTTAAAATATAATAACACATTTATTATCTCATAGTTTTGGTATATCAGGAATCTGGGAGCAGCATAGCTGAATGGTTCTGGTTCAGGGTCTCTTACAGGCATCTCAAGGTTCCACTGGGGAAGGATCCACTTCCAAGCTCACTCATGCGGCTGCCTGAGGTGTTCTCAAAACATGGCAGCTGGCTTCCCTCTCTCCAGGGCTGCCTCACAAGTGATAAGGAGAGAGGGAATCATGAGAAGGAAACTGGGAAAGAAAAACATTGAAGGTGGAAACCATAGTCTTTTTATAACCTAATTTCAGAAGTGACATCTTATCACTTCTACTGTATTCTATGTAGTGGAAGCAAGTCACTTAAATCCAGTTCACACTCAAGGGGAGGGAATGAAGCTCCATCAATTAAGGAGAGAAGTATAAAAGGATTTGTAAACATTGGACACATCTTTAAAACCACAATACAACAACCAGAGAGTTAACTTTCCTAAAGCATAATTCATCACTACCTTCTACTCTTCCCTATCACCAGCTCAAAAACCTTACTTCACTATGTTTTCTCCAAAGTATAAACCCTCAGCTTGATAATGAATTAATTCCTTATCCTACTTTGCTACCTTCATCTCCATTCCACCCTCTACACATCCCTGCTCTAGCCACTTACTGCTTCTAAACACCAACCACCATGCTCTTTCACCTGAATTCATACAGTTTCCTTGGCCTAGAAGTCTGGTTCTCAAACTTGAATTCAGGTGACCAAACATCTGACAGCCCCATGCTCTTTTCAGAATACTACAAAACACTGATACAAGAAACTCGATGTAACAATTCATGACATTGTGCTAAAATGAATTCCATCTTATACTAGATTCTAGAATAGACCAGTGGAAATAGGTGCCAAAGATTTAAGAACACTTCTGGCCAGGCGCGGTGGCTCATGCCTGTAATCCTAGCACTCTGGGAGGCCGAGGCGGACAGATAGCTTGAGGTCAGGAGTTCGAAACCAGCCTGAGCAAGAGTGAGGCCCTGTCTCTACTATAAATAGAAAGAAATTAATTGGCCAACTAATATATATAGAAAAAATTAGCTGGGCATGGTGGCACATGCCTGTAGTCCCAGCTACTCAGGAGGCTGAGTGAGGCAGCAGGATTGCTTGAGCCCAGGAATTTGAAGTTGCTGTGAGCTAGGCTGACGCCAGGGCACTCACTCTATCCTGGGCAACAAAGCAAGACTCTGTCTCAAAAAAAAAAAAAAAAAGAACACTTCTACAAGTTGATTAAAGTTAAGGCCATTATTAAACATCAGCAGCTCCTTCCTTTCATGTAAGGAGCACTTTTTGAAAGCAAGTGACATGGAAAGCCTCCAACTCCCCATTTTTTCATCTCTGAAAAATTTACATAGCTAATTACAAAAAGACTGGAGGAACTTTTTGCACAACAAGTCATGGTGGAACTTGAGTGTGAGGTCCTAATAGGTGAAGACAGGTGAATATGTGACAGGTGAGTGCTCTTAAATAACTGTAGCGTCGTTGCATGGTGGAATGCCACACAGCCGTTTACAAAGATGAGGCAGAGCTTCATGTACTGACTTGGAACAATCTCCAAGATATATTAACAGGAAAAGGCAAGGTGCCAAACAATGAGTATACTAGCCTACCATTTATGGTTTTAAAAAAAGATAAAATTTAAAACCCATCCATCCTAAACATGCCTAGAACATCTCTGGAAGGTTCCAAGAGACAATGGTAACAGCAGTTACCTCTGGGAAGGTGGTGGAAGGGGAGGCAGAGGTTCTACCCCATTCTATCCGTCGGTTATCCAGCCCCCACGCTCATTTGTAGAGGATCTTACCTCCTGCCTCTCTGGGAGACCAGAAGCGCCTAAGAGCCTGGGTCCTGCTCATCTCCTAACGACGCGCTTGATGTTTTCCAGGCCTTGTTATTTCACAGAATACCCACCAGCCAGGGGTGCGGGGGGTCGCTCGAAGTCACCCGGCAGGTGGGAGGTGGGCCCGGGATTCCGCGCTCCTCCCACGGCCTCGCGCGGCCAGCCCAGAGGCCGGGCCACGGAGTGCGGGGACCCCACTGAGCCGCCTGACAGCTCTCTTTTCCCGCCTCAAGGCGCTGTCTCGACTTCTTTAGTGCTGAAGAGGTGTCGCCAGGTTACTTCCTGCGCCTCTGAGACAGCGGAAGCAGAACGGAAGGAGACGGGCTGCCTCAAGAAAGAGACTCTGACGGCAACCAGGGACACTAACTCGGTTTGCTTGTTCCCGCGCAACCCTTGCGGCGCGTCGCCGCGCCCTCCCGGAAGTGACGCAAAGTATCGTCCCCGCCCCCTAGCTTCCGGCTCCGGGCCACGCTCGCGCGTGCGCGCAAGGAACCAGCTACGGGTTTCCGCACGCTGATCCGCACGAGGTGAAAGGGAAATGGAGGACTCGGCCTCCTCTCCGGCGCCAAGGTCTGAGGCGGCTGCAGCCTCCATCTCGATTCCAAAGGCCCCGACCCAAGGGGAGCAGCTGGACAAAGATCAGGTGAGTGGCCCCTGGGGAGAGGGTGGCTCGGAAGAGGGCTGGCCGTGACCTTGCCGGGGACGCCAGTGCGGGCTCGGCGCTGCGGTAGACTCCGTCCGGGCTCCGCGAGGGTCGCCTGCGGGCCGTGCCCTCAGCTGGCCCGCCCGTTTATAAACGCAGGTGGGCGCCTGCTTCCCGCGGTCGTACGGCCTGGCTGTCTTGAATTGGATTGTCGTTCTGGGGTGAGGTCTACGTGGCTTTACATCCCTACCGTTTAGTTTTGGCCAAGTCTCTTAATTTTGCAAGCCTGTTACCTCTTATTTAAAATGGGTTCTTCCGTTCTCCAGGACCAGAAGAGGTAATGGTTATAAAGCGCTTTGGCCAGGGACCTGCCACATCGTAAGTGCGCTGTAAATGCTAGTTGCGGTTTGTTTTGCTCTTTTCCTGGGTTTACTGCCTTTCTCATTGAGAGCAGGAGAAGCAGGATTCCCTTGTGGCCCATTTTCTTATGTAGAAGGGGCCCCTTTCTATAGACAGTACTAGAAACAGATAATTAAGCGTTTTTGATGGATTCTTACATTCCTCTATGTATAAAGTTCAGAATCCTTGTAGATACCGTTATGGAGGTAGCCTCCCAAAATAGAAGTTGGAGCAAAAATAAAAAAGGGATGGGGGGGGAAACTAAGGCTAAATTAGATTGAGAACATTTAACTTATTTGTATCTCCACTTTGCAGGTTAGAAAGGCACTGGAAGCTCTCTTCACATATTCCAAGTCCAGGAAAAACACTAAGGGATTGCTTTTGGATGAAAATGAAAATGTATTTTTACTGGTGATATTATGGACAATTCCAAGTAAAGAACTGAGGGTCAGATTGTAAGTTCTGATTTTCTACCTTTGCTACTTTTATCTGCTTGTTCATTCTATATAACTTTAACAATTGCACTTTAGTTTCTAGTGCAGACTTTGCAAACTCAAAAGTATGAGATGAAATAAAACAACTGTGCTTATTAAAAGAATCATAGGTATTCAGACATACTAAAATTTTTAGAAATTTCACCAATTTTCTTATGGCTTGGTGGACATTTGAATCAAAAGCTTAGTGTTTAGGCTGGGCGCAATGGCTCATGCTTGTAATCTTAGCACTCTGAAGGCTGAGGCGGGTGGATCTTTTTGAGCTCAGGAGTTCTAGGCAAGCCTGAGCAAGAGTGAGACCCTGTCTCTAAAAAAAAAAAAATAGAAATTAGCTGGACAACTAAAAATACAGGAAAAAATTAGCTGGGCATAGTGGTGCATGCCTGTAGTCCCAGCTACTTGGGAGGCTGAGGCAGCAGGATTGCTTGAGCCCAGGAGTTTGAGATTGTTGAGAGCTAGGCTGATGCCATGGCATTCTAGCCTGAGCAACAGAGTGAGACTCTGTTAAAAAAAAAAAAAGAGCTTAGGTGTTTTATAGGTTGAATGACAGGAAGAAAAAAAACCGTTTGAGAGAACAAAGGTAGAATAAATTAACAGCTTTTGATTGTTTTCGTAGAATCCATTATCTTTTCATGTCAAGCTAAAATTCCTGAGAGCCCAGACTTACTGTTTTTTGGGGTTTTTTTTGTATATATATTTTTAGTTGGTCAATTAATTTCTTTTTTTTTTTTTTGGTAGAGACGGGGTCTCGCTCAGGCTGGTTTCAAACTCCTGACCTTGAGCAATCCGCCCGCCTCGGCCTCCCAAAGTGGTAGGATTACAGGCGTGAGCCACCGCGCCCAGCCCAGACTTACTATTTTATACACAGACTATTAAAAACTTGGCAATGAACTCCTTTCTGTGGAAAAGAAACCTATGGTAATTATGCATTCTTAGTGTTAGAAGTTTTAGGTCAGAGATATCCTCTTTGTAGAGTTTTCAGACTTAGCAAACATTACAAATAATGTTTTAGTATAAGTAGGTCCCAAATATATCATAGGACCTACATATACTTAAAAAAACCCAATTTGTGGTTGATCTGAAACTCAAATTTAACTGGGTGTCTGGCAACCCTGCCTGTAAACTCACTGATTTCCCATCCAAAAGCCAGCCTACTTAAGGTGTGTAGGATAGAAAGCTTGTTTCTATTCTTTTTGATATGAAGAAAGAAGATGGAATAATTAGAGACTAGAAAGACACTTCTGACTCTCAGATCCTCTCTTACTGGATCTTCATGACCCTGCTCAAGCAAGGTTGCCTTATTCATTGCTTTACATTTTCTGCTTGCATCCTTTATTCCACACCAGTTTCCCCTTCTGGAAAGCCTTCTCACTTTATCTTCGATATTTTCCCAACTGCTCACCTCTTAAGAGACTTCTGCCGCTTACCACCTTTGCAGCACTTACTATCTCATTTGGCAAGTTATGCTACTGTGTATTGGTTTTCTTAAACTAAGGAAATATTTATGTGGGCCTTAGAAAAGATTTAAACCTTTTTTTTCTACCTTTGTCTTTTTTTCTTTCTTTCTTTTTTTTTTTTAATAGAGATGGGGTCGTGTTCTCACTCAGGCTGGTCTTGAACTCCTGAGCTCAAATGGTCTGCCTGCCTCTGGCCTCCCAGAGTGTTAGGATTACAGGCATGAGCCATCACACCTGGCCTCCCCTCCCCCCCCCCCTTTTTTTTTGTAAGGCTCAGCATAATGTACATGCTTGCTGGTTCCTCTTGGTTTACTCCATGTTTTCTGTTTCAACTCTTTTTTTTTTTACCCAGCATATTATAGGGGTACAGATTTTAAGGTTTCAATAAATGCCCATTCCCCCCTCCCCCCACAAGTCTGAGTCTCCAGCATGACCATCCCCCAGATGGTGCACATCTCACTCATAT